AGAAAGGCCGACTGGCCCGTCCTGAGAATGTAATTGACTGATTGACTACGAGCTACGTGCTGGGATCACCTGCCACCGTGCTGAGGGGGTACTCCTGTTGTGATAGTGGTTTTTACGGGTTTGTCAGGGAATAATGGCTGACTGGGAGTATGGTCTAAACACGTGTATTATCGAGTCGCTAGTAACACACACGAACCTCCAACTTCCAGCTCTACGGGGCGACTGATGCGCCTGGCATCCCCTGCCCCCGGCCAGGCCGCTGCCCTTCCGTCCGGGCGGCTGGGGTGAATCCCTTAGTCAGCTGGACTGCAGTTCCGATCGCGTCTCTGCCCGACAGATTGGCGATGTTCGCTTGTCCATCTGACTAGGGGCGCCATTATTCGAATCTTATTCCTAGCCACAACATCCGCGCCGCATGAGATTAAGTCGCCCCCGACTCTCGTGAAGAAAAAAAATGACTTGAAGTGAAAAATAATTTGAATTTAAGTACAATTGTTTACAATGGCAAATGGCAAAATGAAATGAATTTAAACATTGGTCCCTGCATGGAAGTTGGAGTGTTACCTTAAAACTAATTGATTACACACCTTACGTGCTGTGATTATATACCTAGATCTGCATAGCAAAAAAAAATCCAACAATATGAACCCAAGACCTTTAAGTCATCAGTTTTTTTTTGTTGTTTTTTTTTTCTAACTAGTTTTTAATTACGCCCTTATATCTAGCAATAGCAGAACTTCCTGGAAGTGCTTTTCTTTAAGTGAGAAAACTAGTAATGAATGAAGAGAAAAAAAAAACGGGAAAAAGTGAGTAATAATCTACATGACACAAATCGACCTACTCTCATTCTTCTAGTCCGATAGTGCGATGCTGCTGGAACCTTTTCCGCCGTATGACCCTATTCTCCGCCGCCGCCTTGGCGTCGTCTCTTCATGCCAAGTGAATGGTGACGATGGACCACAACCCGGTCCTGGTGTCGCACTGCGCACCAGGTGGGTCTGACTGGCCGGTGAGTGCGAGTACTACTCAAACGGAATCGCAGTCACTGAGAACGTTCGCCTCGCTAGTCGACTAAGAATCGTTCCCAGGTGGATTTCCCTCGGAGGGCTGGTTGAGTAGATGTTGGCTTACTACTCTGGTCCATGCTTTTTAATAATTTTATTCTTCTTTTTAGTATTGACTGTTCTTCTTAAACTTTCTCTTTTGGTTTATTTATTTTCTTCTTGACGTTCCAAATTGTTTCTTCTAATTACTTAGTACCACTACTAGTGGTTTTCTCTTCTTCATTAACTGGTCTTCCCCTAATGTAAGCATGGACCACCAGCTGCTGTTGGCCCGGCACGACGAAGAACGACGTCCTCGGAGTCGTGCAGCAGACAGGCACCCTGGCGTCGCAGTAGGTGTAGTGACCGCGCAGGACATAGTGGTGCAGACATACGGCGAGGGTCATACGGAGGTACGGCTGCCTCGCAGTGCACCATCGGACGCCCTAATCTAAAACCTTAAACAATACAACAATGCAAAAATACAAAAATAATTAGTTTCTCTCTCTTAATTACAATTACAAAAAAACAAAAAAACAATGAACAGGAATTCTCAAACCAAATTTCCCGCATCTGCATAAATAGGTTCACTATTTCTCCTGCGGCGAGGCCGTATGGACGGACGTCGATTCATCATGAAAGTCTCAGGTGCATCCATGTTTGGTCCACTGACACACCAGTTGATTGCAAGCCACGGCAATTTAAATCGCAAATACAAATACAATAGTCCGAACAATAAGACAAAAAATATTGTCCAAAGGCATATTTCCACCCATCCGCTTGATGTAATGGGTAGACCTTGCCAGGAGGAAATGGCTTTGCCATCAAACGTTTCCACTTTCACTAAAGCTATTGGTACACTGGTCAAGTTTTTAATCTTCAGGTTTTCGAAGGATCTGGCTGGAGCGAATAGTTCGTACGGCTCAAAGTTTTCAGACGCCCAATCCATATTTACTTTCAAGGTGTTATTTTTATTTAGGTTCGCGTTACATGTTCGTACGGTCGAAATTAGAGTTAGCTGTGTACCGGACATTTCTTGTACGGTACAGTGGCATGGGACGATTACCTCCACTCGGCCATTTTCTACTGTAGGAATTTTGTGTTTGACAACGTTATTACATATAACTGCTATATCGGATCCGGGATTAAGGACAGAGTATTTATCGTTACCAAGTCTTTGAACAGTGGAATGGTACGTTGTAGTACAACTTAACTCACAGGCAATTGCAATATCTTGGACATTCGCTTGTTTCAACAGTTTATGTACACAATTGGACATCTGGGATTGCGAATTTTCTCGAGGTAACATGAACATATCCAAATCTCCGAATTTTTCTACAATTGATAAGTCGCGGATCTCGACACCATTGGAAGCAATTTTAACAGGAGAATCTACAATATTACAAGTGCTGCCCTAGTGCAGGAATTTGAGCGGCAAAATTTCCAAAACACGCCATTCAGATCTTGCGTCCGTTAACGGTAAACTTAAAGTTACCTCAAGGACTTGCTTATTTACAAGAGTGCACGTTGCCGTTTCCAATGCATAATATTCAGATAAAGATTCTACACCATACACAAATCTCAGGGCG